CCCCCAAAAAAAAAAACAAAAAAACATGGGTCCCACGGCGCCACTGCCGCCTCGCGTGGCAGCTAGCTCAGCTATATGTATATTTTCACCGCACAAGTTGAAAAAACTACTCAACGACAATATAATTGACAAAATCATTTGCATTTTCCTCCATTTTGTTCCTAGTCACATGAAGAAACTAGAGTATGGTTTGTCATTGGCTAATTGATTCAAACAGCTCAGTACTTATCTCACAATATCCGCAGAGGCTGAGATTTTTTCCTTGCGAGGTGAAAAATATCAAGTACGATAGATATTTCCTCAAGGCCTCGAGAGGTCAAATCCTCACGAAAACTATCCGTACAAGAGAGAAACTTGCTGAGCTATAGCTGCCACGCGAGGCGGTTAGCTCAGCAAGTTGCTCTCGTGTGCGGCGGGCTTTTGTGCTAAGGCATTCAAATTTTAACAATACGTTATTTCAATGGTTTTGCGGAGGTTTTTGGGACACCCTGTATATAAATGCGATATATTTTAATATTTCGAATTGGGGAAAACAATTCGCATAGCATGCGCGCCTTTGAATGCATTAAATTTCGTGAGGCCTGTTTCAAACGTTGCGCTTTTCATTTGCCGAACGCACTAGTACACTGTATTATAATGAGGCATATCAGCTGATTATTTATTGAATATTGTTTTTAATGCGTTTATTTCGGCACATCAGAAGCACGACTTTTGAAACAGGTCTCAGACAGGTATTTGGGAAGACTATACATTGAAACAGCTGGCATGAGTATTCTTAGGTTGTTTTATTTACATTTAAGTCGGTCACGGACGAGCAGTTAGTCTTCTATGACAAGTTTTCTTTGTCAATTAGCCTTTCTCACGCCGCCATTCTTGGGTGGCAACCATTTTAGAACAGGGAAGGTAAACAGTGAAAATGAATCTTTCTATAACTATAGTTGTAAGTATAATCATTACAAATCGATTTACAGTTAAATATTTGAAAAATTATTTTCACATCGCTTAGATTTTTCACCGTTGTTTATAAAATAGTACCCATGCAAAAATGGCGCATTTACGCCCGTATTCTAAAAGCTCACTCACACTCAATGAGTGGAGGTTCAATCTGAGCTTTTCTTGAGTGTCAATGCTGTTTTTGAATAGCTGGAGGGTGAGTAGTCACATAGTAAGGTATGACACTAACCCTCTAACTATTCAAAAACAGCATTGACACTCAAGAAAAGCTCAGATTGAACCTCCACTCATTGAGTGTGAGTGTGAGTGAGCTTTTAGAATACGGGCGTTATAGACCTTGAGAAAGGCTAATTGCAAGAAAGTTTTGGGCTAATTCTGCATGACACCACGATCATAGCTATAATTCCAGCGGGCAAAACGACGTCTACTCAACGTTGAATCAACGTTGGAAATGAACACTCAGACGTTGGATAGACGTTGAAAAAGGATTGAAAATGCAAATTGGATTGACGTTACTCTTTTGACTTTGACTTTGAAACAACGTTGGGATTAGGTTGCCAATCTCGTCAACCATAATTCAACGTTGAATCCACGTTGAAACAACGTTGAGATTACTTCACAAGTTGACGTCGTATAAGCAACCATGAACGAACGTTGATTCGACGTCTGTTTGCTGCTGTTGAACCAACGTTCGTAAAACAACGTCAGAGCAACGTTGATATTAGGTTGTCGACGTCGCAACCTTTTTTCAACCAAATTTCAACGTTGAAACAACGTCGTGTGCCCGGTGGGAGCTAGGACCTGCATGTTCATATGAGGCGGGCTGGTTCGGTAAACCGAGTTGGTTCGGTAAACCGGGCTGACTTGCAAGTGCCGAGATCTCGCCTAGTATATTGTTTTTATGTGTTTTCGAGTTTTGATTCACATGGGAATTGCATGCCGGGCTCCCGCTTGAGGAAGGCGAGATCTCGCCTTCCCGGGCTAATATATGAACGCACTAATTAGCGGGCTGGAAATTGTGTCACTATATTAAAGCATGTAAAAATTCAAAACAAGGAACAGATCAATAAAATGAAAACTAATTCTGAAGCAGTTTTCGTCAATAGAAATAACATTTTGCCTTTTTGCAAAATAAAAAAACTATTACCTTCCCTCCAAAAATCACGCGGGAATTTCGACAGCGCTTGCCGGACTAGCCCGTCTCATGTGAAACAAATAAAAACTTGGCCCAGCAAAGCGAGCTAACCTGGTATACCGCGCCAGCCCGCGGTTCATATGAACAGACCTTTAATCAACGATAGATCGCTGACCAACCGCATGCAAGTGCTCAAATTACTTAGCCAAATTTTCTTTGTCCACCCGTACAGACGAACAAAATTTGTACTTTGCCAATTTTCTTGGACAAAAGCACTTGTTGAAAAGCTAGCATAGTAAAGTACTTGTCATATGAAAACTTATCATAGAAAACGTGCTCGTCTGTAACCGGCTTTAAGTCGTGAAGATAATAATATTAATAACTTACTAACCGAGAGTGAGGGCAGTATGGGAAAATATCCAACCGAGGTCTTGCTGTATTGACCGAGCTATGGCGAGGTCAATACAGCAAGACCGAGGTTGGATATTTTCCCGTACTGCCCGAACAGTTTTTTATTATATGGCATTGTACGTTTGTAAAAAATGGAAGAAAAGGTCACGCGCGGGCAAAGTACAAAGTCCGAAACAGTTTGCAAAAAAAAAATTGTAAAAAATGTTCTTTGGTTAGTAAAACTGCTCTACAGTACTTTTTATATAGAATACTAACACAGTTTGGATAGTATTTCGAGAAAAATACGAGGTATTTCGTCATTTAATCAAAGACAACAAATATATGAAAACAATAAAATTCAATAAAATTACAAAAACAAGTACTTTTTAGTTCGCTTCATCTCATATTTATGTCTCTTTTTATCTATCAGGGTAAAATTATAAATCTGTGGCTGTTTTAGTTGTATTTTTTATTTAGGATGATGTCAAATTCCTCCTGGCTATCTGCATGCAAATAAAATTTGAAGCTCTTCGCATTGTCAAAACACAACTATTCCTAACTGCTTTTATAGTTATAAACATTGTAAAATTTACCTTGTCATTTTGATTTTCGCTAACAAAAACGTATGGAGAAAGTTCTTTAACCACAGCAGTTGCTCCTCTTTTTATTTTAGGTTTATTTTTCTTCGTTTTGAATAGTTTTGAAAGACTTTTAGACACTTTTTGCTGTTTGAAACTCGGCTCTCGTCGCAGGGCAATAAAAATCACGTATTGCCCGTGGGCAATACGGGAAAATCCTGCCTCGTCAGCAGCCAATCAAATTGCGCGATTCATCAAAACAAATGCTTGCCATATAATAATAATAATTCCTTACCGTCATACGAAGAACTTTAGCTGAATACACTCTCGAACGACAAATTGTTGAGTTGCAAATTTTAAACTGAGCGGAAATAATCCGCAAAAAAATGTTTTACAATTTGTTATTTCGTCATTTGCATGCGTATTGCAATTATCTAAGTGCGTTTTTTTTCATCGCAGTTTCCCATCTTCAATTTTAGCGAACAAGCTAGGTCCCATGCAGTTGCACGGTACCGCGAATTTTCTTGTCGCGACATCGAATTTAACGGTTTCAAGAATATCTTAACAAAATAAAACAAATTAGTTTCGATGGATGTTTATATTGAGTCCCTCAGGCTTTGTTAATAGCGAAAAGCCTTTTAAAACACGACATGTTTTTCGTCTTTTAGCAATTTTGACAGTTGCCAAAATATAAACATTGTTTTACAGTTTTAATACCTATAATATAAAGGTTCAAATTATTCGTACAAGTGTCAAGTCTTCAACTCCAGTTCAGATGCTTTGAAACATTTTTAGCTGTTTTGTCGTGCTTGCAATATGTCGCTTCCGAGGGTATACGGCTATATGATAACCTACCTCAAAGAACAATAGAATTCGAGACACCACGTTACTACAAGATTTAATATAGCACCATAATAAGAATTTTAAAGTAAAGATATTAATATATTCAGTCTACAATTCTACCATTCAAACCCGCGGACCAAATATTCCATTGCAATCCATCAGGTATGATGATCTACATAATTATATATGAATATGATACTCTAAGCACGAGTTTTCGTGGTCCTCACGTAGCTACATTCTGATAGGTGCATGTATATAATACCAATATACATTGTGGGTACATATACTTTTAGGTTACACTGTCAAAGCCTCTGTAGGACTAACTAGGACTTTTGCATTGATAAATTCTAAGTTTTGAAGAGAACTGACTCAGTATTACATAGCAAGTCAGTTCTCTCAAACATTTCTTACAAATTACCTATATATACCCAAAATTCCTACTGCATGTGCTAACAGAGATTACGATATAATATGCTACATAACCTAGCATCAAATCTAAATAATACTGAAATGTATATTTTTGTAATGCAGTCAATATACAAGAGTTCCACACAAATTGTTCAACTGCTGTAATTCACTGAGGCTGCATCTCATGCAGTCGTATCAAATATAAGAACCAAACCAGTAATTCGTTGTTGAAGTTGCATTTTCTGTGCAACGAAATGTGGCACTGTATTTTTCGTACGCACCAAAATAGTTGTTTCCACTTTTATCACTTTTTATATCACAAACATCCTCACCAACAGCAGCGATATGTGGTGAACTGCCATTACCCTGCGACCAGTGTGCCGTACATTCTGAACAAGACTGTCCCATAACACTTATATGACTCACTTTCTTGCATTCCCTCCAAAATTCTCCCGTGAGATCAAAATCAGCAAACGCAGCTCGGACGTAGTCAGTGCTGATGTTGACACCATATTGCGGAAAACTGCATGTAGCTCGCCAGTGAGTTGTCGTGTTCTTTATTAGATACATTAGACCATTGCTTATTCGGTACTTGGTCCAGTTTGGAATCCCACTGTTCTCTGGCGAAGGTTCATACAATGCTTTCGATCTAAATGAATCGACATCTTTGTTTTCTCTCGCGAAGGACATGATGAGAGTCCAAACAGATCCTGGTTCAGATTCCATATCACAATACACTGCGCGATATGCTTTTCTCCCATTAAAGATGGTGTAATGACCCGATGTTTTACTACCATGGTTAAAATAGTCGAGACAACTTCCTTTTAGTGAAGGTGTGTTTGGCTGAAACGAAATTTAGAAAATCTACATGTATAGGCTTGTTCAGTATGTGTACATCACAATACTGTCAACTCTCACTTTTTGTTCATTCAAGCAAATTGTTAAACGAATCAGCAGTTTCAAAGTGGAGTATGCACACAAAATACTGCGGTAAACCTGGCAGTACCCTAGTATATACTGTATACATGATCTTGTGGTTAGGGCTCGACAACTGGCCTCTGTAGTAGCTAAGTTGGTTAGAGTGCTGCACCGGAATCGCAGGTTCGATTTTCGCCAGATACCTGACGTTGCATTTTTCGCAGCTGTTTCTGGGTAGGTGTAATGGACCATTCCCCAATTAACCAAAATTTTGATCTCAACAAGTCTAGACAAAATTCCATCATAGCATGAAAGAGCGTCACAAAATTAGTAATATTCCAAAGTTTCGTTGCGAAATGTTGTAACATGCGGATAATATAGCCTTGCGAAATTTGCAATTTTCAGTCATTTTAGATTACAAACGGGAAATGGTTACCACTTTTCCAAAATTTTGTTCTTAACTAGCCTAAACAAAAATTTCATCACAGCTTGAAAGAGCATCACAAAATTAGTAATATTCCAAAGTTTCGTTGCAAAATGTTGTAAAATGTGGATAATATTGCCTTGCGAAGTTTGTATTTTTCAGTCATTTTGTATTACGCACAGAAGTGGTAACCATTTCCCGTTTGTAATCTAAAATGACTGAAAATTGCAAATTTCGCAAGGCTATATTATCCACATTTTACAACATTTTGCAACAAAACTGTGGAATATTACTAATTTTGTGATGCTCTTTCAAGCTATGATGAAATTTTTGTCTAGACGTTACAAATCCTTAGAGTGTCCTCCAGATGTTACCTAACAATATCCGTACGGGTACAACAACCACATACAGCGAAAAAATTAACCATTTTAACACAAAATTATTATAAACTTTTACAAAATTTGCTTTGTTTACAAAAGTTCTATTATGCATAGATTGCTAATTTGTCCTCTAGATGCATCGTTACTGGCGCTGTGACGTCATGTGCAATGGGTCTATAACTAAGTAAATCTAGCTCCTATAGATAGAGTGCGTTCTTTCCCATTGTTGGAAAATAGAAAATAGCCGCCCCTGACTGTATACGGGCTTGAAATTTATTCAAAATTTACTTTGTATATGGACTAGTATATGGAAATCCAATTTTCATAGTAATTGTAATTTCAATACTATGGATGTAGTATGGAAATAATATGAATTTAGTGATGTAATTCTTAATTCATAGTATATGTATGTCACTATTTTTTCCAGTGATAAAGGAAGATAGATATATACCTGTTCAGTTGCATTTTCTGTCTTCTGTTTCTTTTCTGGTTTGTGTGATGCTCCAGGTATCTGATAGAAGGTGTATCTATCATCTCTCAGGAATTCTAATGGATTTCCGTCATCATTCTTGGTTTCATTGTGTAATTCACAATTCGCCTGACCATCTTTGATAGAGGCATATTCAGCATAGTTTAAAGATTTGCAGGTTTTTTCGTCCAGACAAAATACCGCGCACTGGATTGATGTCTTTGCTCTTAAACTGATGAATGCTTTGCGCGGGGATCGAACACCTGAAAAATAATGTCAGTGATGATGAAAAAAAAACCGCGCAACACGCGATCTTATCTATTAAACTTGTCGTGCATGAAGTCCATTCGCTTGCTGATATTTTGAATGTGTGCAACGGCTAAAATATTAAAACCTTTGGGGCTGGATATCCAATCCTGAAAGTATTTTTTAGTAAGGGTATCCAGAAAGTATTTTTAAGTAAGTTATAGTTGACTCGATGATATTTTCTACGCACCTTTTTTAATTCGAAAAAATATTTGAGCGTGTCCATCTGCTTCTCTCCTAAAAGCTATACCCAGGATTACGGAGAAGTAGCATAGCAACACCGTCCAGAATAGTTTGCTTTGAATGGAGCTCGAGTCGAAAATCATGATACTCAAGAAATGATGAGTAGGGAAAGATGAGCAAGAAGCAACTGTAAGCCGACTTATAATTTGTTTAAAATTAACATACTTTGATAAAATATTTATTGTTTTTATTATATTGATAGGTTTTAAAGTGCCTGTACTTAAGTACGTCACGGACATTAGGATATTTATTAGTAGGTGTTTTGCGTCTTCTCAGCCCATGGTAAAGAAACAAATTACTTGCATAAAATAAACATCTTCTGTTTCACATGAGATTAGAGTCGTGTGCACGGCCTCATTATCCCTCGACCTCAATAAATCGCAATAAAAACTCGCTGTGCTCAAGAGTTGTCTGCGGAGGTGAATAATTACTATCATGATCTATTGAAAATAATTCAAGAGTTTTGATTGGCTAGGAGCTCTCGGTGAAATCGTCAAATTCCCTCGGTAGCTACCCAAATTTGGAGTTATGACATCACCGTAGAATATTGAAAACAAATATACCACGTTTGACGCAATTTCATGATATTTTTAAAAAACAATGCAATACGCTATGACGTCCAATTTATGCGGCATATATGTGCCAAAAGCTGGAAAATACAAATGGCTTCCTCAAAGGAAAGGTTCGCCGACATTTTTTGTGTATTCCAACAAATAAGTAATAAAACAATTATTGAATTCGGTTCTCCCAGGATATGAGGAATTATTAAGACCTCGATTTGTGTTATCTGCCTCACCCTTCGATTTGTGTTATCTGCCTCAGTCTTCGGCTTCGGAAGATAGCACAAACCTCGGTCTTAATAATTCCTCATATTCTACTCGACCTCATTCAATAATTGTTTAATATTATTTCCTTTCAAAATGAACGAAAAACATATAGCAGTTGGGAAATTGTAAAACAATTTAGCATGTTGCTCAAACTGTTCAAAAGTCTTGACAAACTTTGGCGCTTTTATCTATTCATACTGAAAATTTTAACTATAGATACATGCAAAGATGGGTCTAGGTTGAAAAAAATCGCGCCAATGTCTTGTCATTATGAATAATTTATATTTAGCGATGGACAAAGACTGGTGTCTATGGCCGCGTTCACTCGAGGCTGGATGAATTCAGAACCTCAAATTCGTCGGGTTTCGTTTTGCGTTCTCGCGGGACGCATGAAAGCGGACGAATTCCAGCACAGCTAACTGGTATAATTCGAGACAAAATAAAATTAGGTTTTCGTTTTGCACTGGAATGGCTCCTAAATTAGACGGCGCCATGTGAACAGCGGAACCTGTCCTTTTCAAGACCATTTTGCACGGTAGAGAATTAGGATTGAGACTGATTGAGCTAATCTGCGCGCGAGTACGTAAATACTTTCGGAGCAACAATTCATCCGGTTCGGTGTGAACACGTATTGTCTCGTATAATTATTCCTATTCCGTGTGAACGTGTAGAACCGGACGAATTTGAGTGCGGTGGCGCAGGCACACAGAAGGTCGACTCGGCCTAAAAAGCGTAACCGCTGCCACGATATGATTCGTCATCAAAATACTGACGCCAAGGTCCTAGCCAAGGAGCCTTTCAGATTTGGCCGGGTATTTTTCACCCGGCCCGCTCTGAAACGCAATTGTCCGCTGTGAAATGCAACTGCCTACTATACGATGTTCGCGTCAGAAACCGGGGAGTGAAACAATTATTAAACTAAAAAATCTCCACAGAAAGTTTGAAAGAATATGATTCTGTTATCTGGCTTCTACCTTAGCGCTTTGGTTTCCTACCCCGTTGCGTGAATAGGGCGCGGGATGACACTCGTGGGATGGGCGAGGGGGAGGATGAAAATCCACGCAAAAGCAACCCGAGCCATAGTAGCAACAGTTACGAGGCAGTATTGTTATAGTAAGTTTGTTTTTCTAAGTATTTGGTGATAAAATATTTATAGTCTTCACTAAATGATGAACATTATGCTACCAGCTTTTAAGTGCTTATGAATTTCACGAAATTATAGGCCACATCTGGCACAAATGCACGATATAAAAATCTCGAAGATATCCATGGATATTTGTATTACCATGCATGCAATATTACATCTATGCAAGAAAGCTGGGGAAAAATCTATGCGATTTATTAATAAGCCGTTACAATCAATTACCACGCTCAATCCTCGTAAAAAACCTTGACTCACAATACGTCATAAATCATATAATTCGCGCTTTTTAAATTCGTGCACTTTATATATATATAAAAAAAACACAAAAAAAACGAGATGATATTTGGCTAAAAGCATTTAAATTTCTTATGGCAATGAATAAAAAAAGTTTAAATGAATGTTTATGAGTCCCTCTGGCTTTGTTTAAAGCAAAAATCCTTTGTCCTTTGTATAAAATACGACATGTTTTTCGTCTTTTGGCAATCTTGACAGTTGCCAACTTATATAGTGCGGCAACGGTTCATGCAATTAATTTTGTATACAGGTTCAAATAATTCGTACAACTATCAAGTCCTCAATTCCAGTTTGGACTCTTTGAAACATTCTATAGCTGCTTTGTCGTGCTTGCCAAATATCGCTTCAGAGGGTATGCAGCTATGATAAACTGCTCAAAGAACAATAGAATTCGAGACATCATGTTACAACAAGATTTAATATAGCGATAGGTTTCACTATAATAAAAGCAAAGATATTAATATATTCTACCATTCACACCTGCAGACAAAATATTCCATTGCAATCCGCAAAGATATAGCTATGATAATCTATATTACTATATTAAATGATACTCTAAGCTACGTGTCTTCGTGGTCCTCTCATAGATAGTTAAATACCAATATGGGATGTGAGTACATTAACATAGGGGCTAGTTTATACTATCAAGGTTTCTGTGATCACAGTAGGAATTTTACATATGGGTAAATTCTACGTTTTGAAGGATTTCTTAAACACCGAGTCAGTTCTCGCGCAAACATTTCTTACAGTAGAAACCATCAAACCAGTCTTAATTCGCGCAAAAAATTACGATGTAATATGCTACATTAGCTAGCATCAACTTTAAATAATACTGAAATATATAGTTCTTGTAATGCAGTCAATATCCAAGAGTTCCACATAAATTGTTCAGGCTGCGTCGCGTGCTGTCTTATCAGACATAGGCACCAAACCAGTAATTCGTTGTTGAAGTTGCATTTTCTGTACAACGAAATGTGGCACTGTATTTTTCGTACGCACCAAAATAGTTGTTTCCACTTTTATCACTTTTTATATCACAAACATCCTCATCAACAGCAGCGATATGTGGTGTACTGCCATTACCCTGCGACCAATGTGCCGTACATTCTGAACAAGACTGTCCCATGACACTTACATGACTCACTTTCTTGCATTCCCTCCAAAATTCTCCCATGAGATCAAAATCAGCGAACGCAGCTCGGACGTAGTCAGTGCTGATGTTGACACCATATTGCGGAAAACTGCATGTAACTCGCCAGTGAGTTGTCGTGTTCTTTATTATATACATTAAACCATTGCTTATTCGGTACTTGGTCCAATTTGGAATCCCACTGTTCTCTGGCGAAGGTTCATACAATGCTTTCAATCTAAATGAATCGACATCTTTGTTTTCTCTCGCGAAGGACATGATGAGAGTCCAAACAGATCCTGGTTCAGATTCCATATCACAATACACTGCGCGATATGCTTTTCTCCCATTAAAGATGGTGTAATGACCCGATGTTTTACTACCATGGTTAAAATAGTCAAGACAACTTCTGTTTAGTGAAGGTGTGTTTGGCTGAAACGAAATTTAGAAAATCTACATGTATAGGCTTGTTCAGTATGTGTACATCACAATACTGTTAACTCTCACTTTATTCACGTAAATTGTTAAACGAATCAGCAGTTACAAAGTGGAGCATGCACAATATACTGCTGTAACGTCGGATAAAAATAATAAATTGGTAATATAAAGAAGGTTTTGTTGGTATCTCACTCGATTGAATAAACCTATACATGGCAGTACCCTAGTATATATACATGAACTTGTGGTTAGAGCTCGACAACTGGTCTCTGTAGCCAAGTTGGTTAGAGTGCTGCACCGGAATCGCAGGGCCGCAGTTTCGATTTTCGCCAGATACCTGAAGTCGTATTTTTCGCAGCTGTTTCTGGGTAGGTCTAATTAATGTATATAAATTTCCACTCCATAATTTCGATCTGCAATATCCTTAAACTAATATAAACAAGGTATAACTAAGTAAATCTAACTCCTATAGATAGAGTGCGTTCTTTCCCATTGTTGGAAAATAGAAAATAGCCGCACCTAACTATATACGGGCTTGAAATTTATTTACTTATTATTTATTCACAAGCATCACTATGGATGTAGTATGAAAATAATATGGATTTAGGGATGCAAACCTTAATTCATAGTATATGGATGTCACTATTTTTTCCTGTGATAAAGGAAGATAGATATATACCTGTTCAGTTGCATTTTCTATCTTCTGTTTCTTTTCTGGTTTGTGTGATGCTCCGGGTATCTGATAGAAAGTGTATCTATCATCTTTCAGGAATTCTATTGGATTTCCGTCATCATTCTTGGTTTCATTGTGTAATTCACAATTCTCCTGACCATCTTTGATAGAGGCATATTCAGCATAGTTTACAGATTTGCAGGTTTTTTCGTCCAGACAAAATACCGCGCACTGGATTGATGTCTTCGCTCTTAAACTGATGAATGGTTTGCGTTGGGATCGAACACCTGAAAAAAATAATGTCAGTGATGATGAAAAACGCACAACATACGATCTTATCTATTAAACTTGTCGTGCATTAAGTCCATTCACTTGCTGATATTTTTAATGTGTGCAATGCCTAAAATATTAGAACCTTGCATGAGCGCTGGATGCCCATTCGCGATATCCAGAAAGTACTTTTTAGTAAGTTATAGTCGACTCAATTTGGATACTGCAAATTACTTATCGTGAGGGCAAGCAACATTAACAATATAAACATTTGGTCTGAACGTGCCATGTATATTTACGTTCAAGTGGTTCGGTTTTGGGTTCTGCACCAAACTTCAATATTTAGGTTCCAAAATTAGACAGATTGTTGAATGATATTTTCTACGTACCTTGTTTGATTTGAAAAAATATTTGAGCGTGTCCATTTGCTTCTCTCCTAAAAGCTATACCCAGGATTACGGTGAAGTAGTATAGCAGCACCGTCCAGAATAGTTTGGAGTCGAAAATCATGATACTCGAGAAATGATGAGTAGGACTTAGTTGAGTTTCCAGCGAGAAAATGCCAAGAAGCAACTGTAAGCCAACTTATATTTTGTTTAACATACTGTGCTGATAAAATATTTATTGTTTTATTGTATTGATAGGTTTTAAAGTGCCCATAAGTATACGTCACGGAAATTAGGGCATTTATTAGTAGGTGTTTTGCGTCTTCTCGGCCCACAGTGACGAAACAAATTACTTGCAAAAAATAAACATCTTCTTTTTCACATGAGGCTAGAGTCTTGTGCACGACGTCATTATCCCTCGACCTCAATAATTCGCAATAAAAACCCGCTGTGCTGAAGAGTTGTCTGCGGAGGTGAATAATTACTATCATGATCTATTGAAAATAATTCAAGAGTTTTGATTGGCTAGGAGCTCTTGGTGAAATCGTCAAATTTGCTAGGTAGCTTCCCAAATTTGGAGTTATGACATCACCGTGGAATATTTAAAACGAATATTACCGCGTTTTACGTAATTTCGTGACATTTTTAAAAACAATGTAACACGCTATGACGTACGTCACGCTAATTTATGCAGCTTATGCCAAAAGCTGGAAAATCAAATGGCTTCCTGAAAGGAAAGGGTCGCCGACCTTTTTTTAGTATTCCGACTAGTATTCTGCCTCAGCCTTCGGCTTCGGAAATAACACAAACCTCGGCCTTAATAATTCCTCATATCCTACTCGACCTCATTCAATAATTGTTTAATATTATTTCCTCTCAAAATGAACGAATAAACACATAGCAATCGGGAATCGGAAAAAAAATTTAAACTGTTCAAAATGCTGAACTCACTTAGGTCACTTAGGACGCTTTTATCTGTTCATACTGAAAATTTTAACTACAGATAGATGGAAAGATGGGTCTGGGTTGAAAAAAGCCTGCGCTAATATCTTGTAATTATGAATAATTTATAGTTGGCGATGAACAAATACTGATCTCTATGGCCCCGTTCACACCGGATGAATTTGGTACCGTACTCAAATTCGTCGGGTTTCGCCTTGCGTTCACGCGGGGCGCATGAAAGCGGACGAATTCCAGCACTGCTAACGGCAGAATTCTAGACCAAATAAAATTAGGTTTGGTTTTCTGCTAGAATGGCTTTTAAATTAGACGGTGCCATGTGAACAGCGGAACCTGTCCTTTTCAAGACCATTTTGCACGGTAGAGGATTGGGATTGAGACTGACTGAGACCATAGAGTGCAGCCTAGTCCCAGTCGTTCTGAAGCAAGCGCGAGAAAAAACGTGGATGTTGTACGAGACTGGGATCTAGGTGTGACGTCACCGCTAAAGGTGCTTCAGAGCGCCTAGCAGGTTTCAGCATTTTTAATATGGCGGAAAATTTATATATACAAATAACCTTATAAATAATATGACAATGTTCGTTGATCATGTTTGATGTCTACATAACCAAATTCAAACTGTATTAAAAATGTGCTCAATTAAAAGTTTAGCCCGTTATTCCATTCTGACCGTATGGTAGCGAAACGTAGTCTATTTCATTGTTCCGAGAGCATTAGAGCAAAACTAATGACTTAATTATAAACGCAAAAGAAATTTCCATAACATTTTCTATTTGCAAATGCGATATGCTTGGCAACCAGACCAGGGACCACTTTTTTGAAATCAGGGACCATTTTACCGAAATCTGCTAGGCTCTCTCGCTGAAGCGTTCCGCACAGCACACCCAGGCATAAAACTTTTAAGACTTATTTAAATATATCAAAGCAGCGAATAGAGAGAGATAGAGGCTGGGGCTAACGAACGGACTCGAAATTCTGCGAGGTTAACCCCAAACATGAACCCCCACATATGAACCCCATAAATGAGCATGCAGCAATGAAGCTTTTAAGATTGCACAGGTTTACTCGACCGTAAAGTAATAGATGATTCTCATTATTACGTTTTCGTAGCGCTTTGCATTGTGGTTATAGTGGTATCACTGATAAACATAGCGGCCTCGAATGAAAATATTGAATGTTTTCGCGAATATTTTGCTGTTGGCTATCGTGCACCTGACCCTAGCTTTTTTAAAAGTTCTTGCACGGGTCGGGACAAAAAATAAGCCATCTTGAATATCAGTGAAATCACTATAACCACAATGCAAGGCGCTACACGAAAACGTAATAACGGGAATCATCTATTAGACCCCCCCCCCCAATCCGCCATTCACTCATTGGTTGGTTTGAAATAGGTAATTGGACAAGTACTGGTGTAAGACATTGTGTAGCCTAAATAATGAGGACCAGTAGCCCAAAAGGGAAACTACGATTAGATAGAAACTGAAATACGTGAAATTTTTATGTGACACGATAAAAGGCGCGGATATATAAGAGCGAGAGATTGAATTTGAATAGGAAGTGCAACGCTGTACGCGTTTCGACCTAACAGTCTTCTTCAGCAGGGTTTTTTTAAGGGGGGTGTAGATAGAATTTGCAGAGTAGAACTAGAATGCAAGAGAGTTTAGGAGTACGAGACATATGTGAAACCAGAGAAAAACAAATTATTACGAAGTTCTAATGGACAATTAATTACACAATACAAAAATGAAGGTTGAAATAAAGTGAAAAAGGATGAAATTACTGAATATGTTATTAGTAAAAATGTTATTAGTTAAATATTTGATCCATATGTGTCCCACATTACATTGGATATACCTAATGTTTTGATGGATTGAAAATTGCGTGACGTAAGCACTTCTAAATTTATTAGCCTAGCAACGGTTAATCTCGCTAGTGGTCCTGGATTTAGGGCTCACAGTTTCCCATGTTCTTGGTCGTTCAGTGTCAAAGCTGTTTCCAAGTTTTGCGCTGTAGAATAAATAAATTTTCGTTTTGAATGTTGATAAGGAAGTAGCTTGTCTTGTATTAGATATTCTTCTGTGGTACGAGTGGAGTGAGGACGGAGATTAAGGTTGCATTGAGTTGTTCTGGTCTTGCCAGTGACAAAATGAAATATACTGGTCAAGGGGGTAGTTTATGAGGGAAGTACAGGCCATTTATGCTTTTATACATAAAACAAAAGTCATGATACTCGAACCATTACAAAATTTGCCACAAGTTTAATGAAACGAGTCGAGATTAGTACTCTGGTCTTTCTTCCGGTTTAGGAATGCAATGGAGAATAAAACGAGTTGCTCGGCGCTGAACTCCCTCCAGTAGTCTGATATCAGAAATACTAGATTCTGGAACCCAGACCTTAATGGCGTAACCGAGGTGTGAACGGACAAATGCCAAGTACAATAATCGCTCACTATAAGAACCAATGTGAGCATAGCAGTGACGGTGCAAAAGGCCAAACATGCGGTTGGCTTTAGCTACAACAAATGCTATATGACTGAGAACTCCACGATAGTTTGTTCGTGACCGGTACCCCAAGGTCTGTTTGGATGGGTACCACCGAGAGAGGGCAACCACCGGAAACATACGGAGCAACATCGAGAAACGTGGCTAAGCTGTTGCATTTTCTGGAAATCCTCATTGCTTCACACTTTTTCACATTAAGTGACAACGCCCAGGTTTCAATCCACTTGCTGAGACTATTTAGATCTTCCTGTAGCATAATGCAATCATTAGGGCTTGTTATGATCCGCGAGCATTTTGCATCGTCGGCGAATAAGGCTAACTTGATATCCGCTGACAACATCTGGCAGATCGTGAAAGGAAGAGAATTAGAAAGGTTTAAAGATTATTTGTTCCACCGTACTCTACGTGTGACTTATAATAACCATCTATCTCAGGTTTCTGATTTTCTTAGGCGAACTTTTCATGCGCCGTCGTAGATACGGCAAAATATCGGAAACTGATTTAGAGGTGGAACTTAATTGTACCATACTGAATTGCGAGGGCACTATATTGGACATATTTACAAATGCAAATATATGATAATCATATCATGTTTAAAAAATAATTATGCATTAGGTTCGGCGCATGAAAAACACGGCGTCTAAATCGATGTCGAACCTGTGTCGCATATACGACTTGTCTTGTCGTATCTTCGAGTCGTGTCGGTCTTAGGCCCGGTTTAGACGGCGAACTTTTCATGCGCCAAATCTAATGCAAGGATTAAGTGCGACGCTGGAGCGGCGTATAAATCAATAGGCAATTCCAGCTTTTAATTTATGCACACATGGAGTGATGGGAAGTAAGCTATCATATTGCTGAAAAACTGCCGAAACAACCGAAAAAATTCAATATTTACAAGTATAAGCTGTCACTCCGTGTTTACACGGCCGTTATTTTTATATTTTTCGTCATAATCAGCAATATGATATCCTCCCCTGCGCGCATAAATTAAAAGCTGGAATTGCCTATTAAGTTCGGCAGGTTTTGATTAAGTTCGACATGACCCGAAGATGCGATAAGACAAGTCGTATTATGCGACACAAATTTATAGAGTCGCTTTTCAGAAATAAACAATTGTAAGTCTTTTGTATGTCATTCATTCGATCACATTTGCCAAGAGGAGAAAAATCGTCGACAGAATTGCCAGTGTGAACCAGGCTTAAGATTCGGCGCATGAAAAGTTCGCCCTCTAACCGGGCCTATTAGAGACCTTACGATTTTAGGACGGCAACGCCTACCAATACAATAGATCATTGAAAAGAATTGAAAAATTTTACAATTTAGACATCTCTCGCTTTGTTTACAACGCCAAATCACAGATTTTTACGTCTTGATACAACGACTGCATTTCAAGCCGCAACTTCAAACTGGGTTCAGGAGAACTCTTCCCAACCATAAAACCCATGTCTTCAACTTCTAAGACTTTATTAAATTCATACGATTGATAATATGCGACGAATTATCTTTACCACCATTTATTTGAAGGAGTTTATTTTGGCCGTCGTCGTCGCGTTGCCGTCCTAAAATCGTAAGGTCTCTATTATAGGTGTGCTACAGGGCTCCAACGACATCAGTGACGTCATAAAGCAATGTAATTATACTACATATGCTAATAATGTTGTTTTGTGTATTGCTGCAAAAGATCTGGAGTCGATTAAGTTGAAACTATCAAATGATACGGTTAATATTGCTGAGTGGTTGGATGAAAATATCTTAATAATTAATCTCAGAAAATGAAAAACGGAAGCACTGCTATTCGGAACGGGTAAACGTTGGAGTAATTTGGGTGGAAAATTGTCTGTCCCTTACCGAAATTTCATCATAAATCCTGCAACGGAATATAGATATCTCGGTGTTGAAATTGATTCGACGTTAAGTCTAAATTCATACCTTGATGCTTGTTTCAAACGGGCATCATCAAGGTTGCGATTATAGTCAAAAATTAGACCTAACTTGACCACGATCTCTGCCAAACCAATATATCAAGGCATGATTCTCCCAGTAATGACATATTGTGGAGTATTGAATTTGAACTTAACTCAACTGCAGGTGAACGGATTGGATTTCATCTACCAACGAGCCCTGAAAATTATTTTCGCTGATCCCGTTCAAGATCCAAAGCTTCAGACAGTTATGCATTTAAAAAGAAACGTGCTTTTGAACTTGTGAGGAAAATTATGGATGGTAATATCTGTGATTCACTAAATGGTCATTTTAATTTGAAAGAACATGGTGGAGTAACACGATATGGCGGTCATCTTAATCAGTTATCGGTCATCATCATCCAGAGTAAAAACGGTATATGCACGTAGAAGCTTTTACTTCATGGAGGCCAAGATGTATAATCAACTTCCCTCTGGAAATAATGAAGACAGAGAATTATGATAGCTTTGTAAACATGTTATCAAAGCATTTTAGCTAACCTTTATTCCCCAGTAGATGTTTCTAATGGAATTCTTGACTCGATTTTGACACTTTCTAAACATGTTTATAATAATAAGAATAATAAGAATAATTTGGTTTCCTATGCCGTTACATGGATAGCGCGCGGGATGACACGCGTGGGAGAAGAATGAAAATCCACGCAAAGGCCACGCGAGCCATAGCAGCAACATAGCGCCTAGGTACGAGGCATGCAGTATTGTAAAAGTAAGTTTGTTTCTCTAAGATTGCAAAATATTTGCTGATAAAATATTTATTGTTTTCACGAAATTACCCTATTATGCTAACAGCTTTTATTAAGTGCTTAAGAATATCACGAATATCATACGTTGTTCAAATTCGTGCACCTTGATGACAATTGCCTTGGTTAAAAGCATTTTATTTATTTTTTCTAATGGCATTGAATAAACAAATTAGTTTCACTCGATGTTTATGAATCGCTCTTGCCTTGCATGTTTAAAGCGAAAAGCCTTTGTCCTATGTATAAAAGACGACATGTTTTTTGTCTGTTGGCGGTCTTGGATAGTTGCCAACATACAAACACTCTTTTAATCGCTATAGTGCGGCAATGATTCATGCAAATTAATTCTGTATAGAGGTTCAAATAATTCGTACAAAAGTCATGTCTGTTAAGTTCCTATGATTCCTTTTGTTTTATAATTCACTATAAAGTACGACTACAAGCGACATGCGAACTGTCTCGTCCATGTCCCACGTGGCCGCCCACCTCTAATTTGGATGCTTTGAAACAGTTTTAGCTATTTTGTCGTGGTTTGTTATATGTCGCTTCCGAGGCTATACAGCTATGATAAATTACCTCGAAAAACAATAGGATTCGAGACACCGTGTTCCTACAAGATTTAATATAGCGATGGGATTTCACTATAATATAAGATTAAGATATTCTACCGTTCAAACCCACATAAACCCACATACCAAATAATCCATTGCAATCCATAGAGATAGCAATGAGGCTATCATGGGCAGGCTGTCATACATCATAAACTTAGCCGAACAATTCATTTTTTACATACGATGAAAGAGCTTTTATCTAGCTTTTTAAAATCGTAACGATAAGAAATGGCCACATACTCGTCAAATAAAAATTGCTTGTCGAAATCACTTTCTTCCACCGTTGGGAATTGAAAATACATTATTCATTAATTATGCAAAGTTAGTCAATCCAAAAACAACGCGAGCCTGCTGCAACCTATTTGTTTCGTAAAAGGTTTTGATTACGAATGTTCTCTGTCCAGGGGTTAATTGAATCATGTTTAAATAATGGACGTTCTTATTAAGTAATCAGTATATTGTCTCACTAAGACGAAGATTGACGAGTCGAGCTCATTTTAGATCCCTCTTGGGAATTGTCTATGACTGTATTTCGTTTTCCATGCAGTTCCCAACGGTGGAAGAATGTGATTTCGACCGGCAATTTTCATTTGACGAGTATGCGGCCATTCCTCATCGTTACGATTTAAAAAGAGTATCATTGAAAAGCTATTTAACTGTTCTTTTGTCGTATGTAAAAATGTAATTGTTTATAGCCACGTTTATGATGCACGACAGCCCGTTGAATTTCCATAGCGTTTTTTTTTTTAGACACCCCATAAATACTCTAAGCTACGTGTTTTCATGGTCCTCGCGTTGATATAGATGTAATACCAATAATACATAGGGGCTTGTTTAAAGTATTAAAGTTTCTGTAATCACAGTAGGAATTTTGCGTAGGCAAATTCTACGTTAATTGAAGGGCTTGTTAAACACCGAGTCTGTTCCCTCAAACATTTTGTACAAATCTTTCAAAACTTAGAATTTGCCTACGCAAATTAAAATCCTATTGCATATGTGATCACGGAAACATTGATGGTTCAGCCTTATTCGTGCAAAAAATTACGATATAATATGGGAAATTAGCTTGTATCATATCTAAATAACACTGAAATATATAGTTCTTGTAAAGCAGTTGATATGCAAGAGTTCCACAAGAATTCCACACAAATGCTATTGTTCCCTGATGCTATTGTTCAAATGCTATTGTTCCCTGAGGCTGCGTCTCGTGCAGTCCTATCAAACATAGGCACCAAACCAGTAATTCGTTGTTGAAGTTCTATTTTCTGTACAACGAAATGTGGCATTGTAGTTTTCGTACGCACCAAAATAGTTGTTTCCACTTTTATCACTTTTTATATCACAAACATCCTTCTCATCAACAGCAGCGATATGTGGTGCACTGCCATTACCCTGCGACCAGTGTGCCGTACATTCTGAACAAGACTGTCCCATGACACTTATGTGACTCACATTCTTGCATTCGTCATTAAATTCATCCATCAAATCAAAATCAGCGAAGGCAGCTCGGACGTAGTCGGTGTTGACGTTGACACCATATTGTGGAAAACTGCATGTAACTCGCCAGTGAGTTGTCGTGTTCTTTATTACATACATCAGAAATCTTTTCATTCGGTACTTGGCCCAATTTGGAGTCGAATTGTTCTGTGGCGAACGTTCATACATTGCTTTCGATCTAAATGAATCGACATCTTTGTTTTCTCTCACGAAGGACATGATAAGTGTCCAAACGGATCCTGGTTCAGATTCCATATCACAATATACTACGCGATGTACTTTTATCCCATTAAAGATGGTGTAATAACCCGATGTTTTACTACCATGGTTAAAATGGTCAAGACAACTTCTGTTCAGTGAAGGTGTGTTTGCCTAAAACGAAATTTAGAACAATTACATGTCTATAGTGCCTTTTCAGTTGGTGCATATCAGAAAACTGATAATTCTCACTTTATGTTCATTCAAGTAACTTGTTAATTAAACAAATTAAAGTTGAGCATGTACAATATACTGCTATATAAAAATTATAAATTGGTAATAACAAAATATAACTAAGTAAATCTAGCTCCTATAGATAGAGTGCGTTCTTTCCCATTGTTGGAAAATAGAAAATAGCCTGACTATATACGGGCTTGAACTTTACTTGCTAATACACTCAATTATTTTTCATCAGTGCATGGCATAGCAAGCCCGACAATTTAGGCCCACCAGCAAATTCAAAATTATTATCATTATTTATTTATTTCAAAATTGATTGTTTTCACAGTCAATGAACACGAAAATATTTGCATAGCGGGACTAAATCGTCAGTCTGGTTACGCTACTGTTTTTCATGGATCTTTGGTAATAGTATGGAAATCCAATTTTCATACTAATTGCAATTTCCATACTATATGGATATAGTGTGGAAATAGTATGGTTTTAGTGTTGCAATTGCAAATTGCATAATACGGATTTCACTATTTTTCCTGTGATAAAGGAAGATAGATATATACCTGTTCAGTTGCATTTTCTATCTTCTGTCTCTTTTCTGGTTTGTGTGATGCTCCAGGTATCTGATAGAAGGTGTATCTATCATCTTTCAGGAATTCTAATGGATTTCCGTCATCATTCTTGGTTTCATTGTGTAATTCACAATTCTCCTGACCATGTTTGACAGAGGCATATTCAGCATAGTTTAAAGATTTGCAGGTTTTTTCGTCCAGACAAAATACAGCGCACTGGATTGATGTCTTCGCTCTTAAACTGATGAATGCTTCTCGCTGTGATCGAACGCCTGAAAAAAAATAATGTCAGTGATGATGAAAAACGCACAACATACGATCTTATCTATTAAACTTGTCGTGCAATTACTAATATTCTGAATGTGTGCAACGGCTAAAATGTTAAAACCTTGGGGGCTGGATGCCCAATCGCGATATCCAGAAAGTATTTTTAGTAAATTATAGTTGACTCAATTTGGATACTGCAAGTTACTTTTTCTGCATGAGTGCAAACAACATTAACAATATAAAAATTTGTCTGAACGTGCCATGTTTATTTACGTTCAAGTTGTTCGGTTTTGGGTTCTGCGTCAAACTTCAATATTTAAGTTCCAAAATTAGACAGATTGTTGAATGATATTTTCTACGCACCTTGTTTGATTTGAAAAAATATTTGAGCGTGTCCATTTTCTTCTCTCCTAAAAGCTACACCCAGGATTACGGAGAAGTAGTATAGCAACACCGTCCAGAACAGTTTGCTTTGAATGGAGTCGAAAATCATGATGCTCGAGAAATGAGAGCAGGATACTTTGCTGAAAAATATTTTTGTTTTTATTATGTTGAAAGGTTTTAGAGTGCCTATAAATACGTCACGGAAATTAAGATATCTATTAATACGTGCTTTGTGTCTTCTCTGCCGACGATGAAGAAACAAATTACTTGCATAAAATAAACACCTTCTGTTTCGCATGAGGTTAGTTAGAGTCATGTCCACGACCTCATTGTCGCTCACCTCAATGATTTCCAATAAAAACCCGCTGTGCTCAAGAGTGATAATTACTAATATTATTTCCTTTAAAATGGACGAAAAAACATTTAGCAGTTGGGAATCGGGGAAAAAATTAGCATATTGCTTTAAACTGTTTAAATTGCTAAACTCACTGAGGTCATGACAAACTTTTACGCTTGTATCTATTCATACTGAAAATTTTAACTATAGATAGATGTAAAGATGGGTCTAGGTTAAAAAAGCACGCGCTAATATGGACAAAGACTGATCTCTATGGCCCCGTTCACACCGGATGAATTCTGTACCGTACTCAAATTCGTCGGGTTTCGCCTTGCGTTCACACGGAACGCATGAAAGCGGACGAATTCCAGAACAGCTAACCGCAGAATTCGAGACCAAATAAAATTAGGTTTCGTTTTGTACTGGAATGGCTCCTAAATTAGACGGCGCCATGTGAACAGCGGAACCTTTCCTTTTCAAGACCATTTTGCACGGTAGGGAATTGGGATTGAGACTGACTGAGACTATCTGCGCACGAGAACGTAAATACTTTTGGAGCCACAATTCGTTCGGTGTGAACACTTATCGTCTCATAATTAATCCGGTTCCATGTGAACATGTAGAACCGGAAAAATTTGAGTACGGTGCCGCAGACACACAGAAGGTTGACTCGGCTTAAAAAGCCGCTGCCACGCCATGATTCGTCATCAAAATGCTGACGCCATGGTCCTAGCGAATGCGCTTATAAGAGGCATTCCCCTGGACGTCCGCCATTTTGAATATTTTGAGGGGGTGAATGCCTCTAATAAGTCCACAGGCTAGGACCATGGGGTCAGCATTTTGATGACGAATTACGGTTACGCCAAAATCGTAGGAAAAACCAAGAAGTCGGGCTTCTGTTTAGTCTCTATTCTGTGACGGCGCCGAATTCATCCAGTCCCATGTGAACGTAGACTATATGTTCGTGCCTATACCCGTAACTATATTAAAGAGTACGCAATCGCCTAAGTCGTCTCTGCATTGACACATACCTGTATCAATGACTATAGTTCAGTGAATTTTAAACTTTTTCACGTTCAAAAATGTTGTTTGTAGCACATGCTTAATTAAATTCACTTGATTAACATAAATAGCTAGATATATTGAATTTCCATTTATTACAGAAACAGCATACTGATGGCGAAATCGTTTTCCGTAGATCGGATTGGGAATGGAGATGAAATGATGCGGGTCATAAGCTTGTCAGATGGTTGGCTGGATAACGGCGATGTCTTCGTAGACCACCAATCACTGCCTGATTTGCTCTGGGGAAACATCAAGCAATGACTTGACAGGCGCCACGACCTGTTTGGTACTGCTTGAATGGCGCCAAGACCTGCCTGGTACTGCCTGAATGGCGCCAAGACCTACCTGGTACTCGCCACAGATGCAGGAGTTTCGACACCCAGGAGGTAAGGTTCAATATTCATTGTGCGTCGGATGCAAATGTATAAACGTTACAGGGTTAGATAGACACCTTTATTTATTCGGAGCAGTCCTATCAGCGACAAAAACATGTCACTGTTATGTTACAAACTTAAATAAACTTAATTATTTTTTGGTCTGTGCCGAGGTTGTCTACCATCAGCATTTTGCAGAGCCAAAATCTCAATCAATGCTCTATTATTAAAGGACAATGGTAACAGAAAATTTTATTATCTCAATACAAAGAACGTTTAAAATTATCTATAAAATTTTATTCCAGTCTTGAAATATTTTGAATATTTTGACTGAAAGCAATGAGTTGTCCGCCATCTTGGATTAATTCTTAACCTCATTAACTGTCGTTTTGATGATGTCAGGAGTTGGGTTAGCTTTATAAAATTACTTCTAAGTTACAGAGTAACAATCAAAAGTTGTTTAAATTGTTGCAATTCAAAATTTGAACTAGCAATCAAAATCGAGTTTCGGGTTCATAGTGATCACTGGCTGTCAAGATAAGAAAAAACTTGCGTGATCCCACTTGTGAGGTATCATGCATATCCTCAATAATCCAAGATGGCTGACAGTTCATTATTTTCAGTCAAAATATTTCAAGAATCAGCAAGATATGAAACATATATAACAAGATTTTAGAGATGATTTTAAACGTTCTTTCAAATGAAACAATAAAAATTTTTGTTGCCATTGCCCTTTAACATGCATATTCCAACTATGAAAAAATGTCTAAGAATAATGCAGATTGATAAGGATACGCTTTAGATGTCAATCTTTCGTCACTAAAGTGGCTGATAAAATGGCGGAATACAAAAGAATCGAAACATTTTAGCGCGCGAAACATCACGGTTGACTGTGATTCTTTAACTAATGTCAGATACACGAAAACGAGGCTCTATAGCCAAAGTGACGTACTTCACGGAAGGGTGTATTGAACAAGACGTCTGCTCAGGTGTTCACTTCGGCTACGTAGCAACACTTGACATGCGTGGAATGGATTTGTTGCCGTACTAGATCGTTGTATTAAAAACTGGGTTATTACATTAAATTTATGGGGCCTAATCTTCGGTTTTTGTCCGGAAGATTGTTGAATTAATTTAAATTGATACTAAAATTATTTAAGAAGTATTAATTAATCATTATGAAATTAATTATTTAATGTAGTTAAATAATTAATTAATTATTAATTGTTTATTTTAATTAAATTATTGATTATATTTAATATAATTAATTTATTAATAATTATTTAATAATTAAAATTTGATAAATATTATTTAATAATAATTATTTAATAATTAAAATTACATTCTGGTCACTATTTGTGACTATATTTTAAATCGTTTTGACTGCTTTTTTGAGGACCAAAATCATTGTTTGTCGAAAGAGTTATTAATGATAATATTACAGTTAAGATTAATATTACAATTATCAAGATCTCTGTAAGTGTTATAAATCTCGTCTTTGGTTCGACTGATAACGCTTACCTTGACCTTGATGATTCTAGCATCACAAAAACCTCGTTCAATAACTGTTTATTAGAGATTTAACAGTTCTTTCGCATAAAATCGACTCAAAAATCTATTGCCAATACCTTAAGCCATGTTTACAATTGCAATATTTGTTGCGATTTTAGCTTCAATTATCTCTTCTGATGGATGTGAACGAGTGGATGGGTCATTAATGTTCAAATGTGGCCGCATATACTCAGAACATGTACAACTTATCCACCCTTTCACATTCATCAGAAGAAGAAAAACGAGCCCTAATGCAGTCCGTTTCTAAAGTTCAAAGGGTAGCACTTATATACATGTTTGACTCTATACTACCGTCCAAGGAGTGTATGTTGGTCCAAGGAATATAATGTTGCATTCTTAACTTTTTGGCCATGTTGGTGATTTTCTCACAGAAGAGTTGCTCCTGTTTTACCAACTAAAGCAACCCGACCATTCGGGTGAGACGTTAGCTCAGCATCTGTAATCCATTTTGTAGATCCCAACCATAAACTGTCTTCTAGTTTTCCAGTTTCTGAGAATCTCAACACACTACAGCCTGATGGATCATGGGGTGGTTTGACCAGAAAACGCTTTGTGACGTCATGATCATTTATTACAAATGAACGAATTTTTTGGTCTATCTTAATTTTATGTTCTAACTTCCCGTTTTCTGTACAAATGAAAAGGGTAGCCGAGTCTGCAGCGATGATTTTTGTTCCATCCAAATCTGAGTGAAATCTTAAACCTACCGGATGACCCTGCAATTTGTTCAGATGAAAACTATTGTCGACCTTAAACGAATTCACCTCAACACACACGTTTCCGATATACACGGTTTTGTTTCTGCAGTTTAAAATAGCAATTTTTCCGTCCGTGTTTATTGCCATGCGCACTAGGCCAAACTTGCTTTGAAGAAAAGGTAACGGAGACTCAAATTTTTTAATTCCATTCTCATCAAACATAAACAACTTAAAACTCCGTGATCGATCACAGCCTTCTTGGGATGCAGTGATGACGTATATGTTATCCTGAGCATCGATATCTATCGCAGTTACAAAATAATTTGACGTATGGTCGTCTCTGGGAATTTCGCATAGAGTGCGGCTTTCTCCTACAGGTTTAAAGATCTTGAAAGTACGGTCACTGCGCGCCAGGGCAATAATCTCTCCTTTGCTATTTACCACAGAAATCTCATAGTGAATATCTTCGCCAAATGTAAAATCTGGATTCACTGACATAACTTGCACATCTGTCGACTCGCTAAGTTTTTCATTAAGGAGATAGTGTCCATGTAAAGGGTGGTAGCGGATTTTACCAAACAAAATCATGGGCCATTCAAAAATGTTCTTTGGCAATTTTGTGAATTTCTTGGCAAAATCAAACAAGATTTGATTCATGACATGAACCGACAAGGCATTGTTAAGTCGCTTTGTTTTTTTGAACGGCGACCTGACTCCTCCGCCAATTAGAACAGAAAATATTCCTTGAATATCTCCGATATTATGAAGCTGTTTAAGGTACTGCATGCAATCGCTTACGCTTGCGTCTGGATTGTCCAAACATTCCAAAATCCTCGCCATCATTCTGATCTGCGACGCTTGAATCCGATCTTCAATCGGCAACGAATCGTTGGAAAATGCATCGGTGGCTTTTTCACGCGCACGTTTGAGCAATTCTACCGCCTGCTCAAACCGTTTGGGGTAACGTATTTTTGACGACTCAATAACACCTATAAGAGCAACAGCTTCGTTGATAGGAGAATCAGGACCAGTGTTTCCGGATGACGCAGTTTCAACTAAAGTCGCTTGGTCGGCCGATTCTATTGTAGCCTCGTTCGAATCCAAAGGGCGTAGGGACTCAGATAGTGCAGTGACTCCTTCTTGTAGGAAACAAAAACTACTCTTTAAATCTTTTCTCGACAAACCATCTAACCTGTTCTTGATATCGTCAAGCTCTCTAAGGATCCACCCTCGACATATTTCGTTCATGACATCGCCATCTTTCAAACTTGTCGCAATTCGACTGCGAATCTTCTTCGCTAAAACGCCTAATGTAAGTTTCAGAACACCGCTTACTATCGCTGACATTTTTTAAATCAGTGAAGTATTCACCAGACCAGAACAAACGTTATATCAATACCTTCAAACACAGTTAGACAAGATCAACGAATCACCTGGCATGACATGGATTTGCACTCAAATTCAACTATTTTACTGCCTTATATATTAGCAAAAAGGAAGTTTTTCTGAGATTTCAATAATGTTCGGTATGAAAATTGTCCTCTGCACAATTTAACTTCAATATGAACTTTTTATACAAAGTCGTCATCCGCTTTAACACGCTTCATGAACACGCTCTGCATGCATGTATGTAATATTTGTCGATAAGTCAGTAAACCTTATGTTCGTAATACAATCTTATTTACAGTAGAAGACATTTGAAAGTTTCAAAGAAACTTATTCGTATCTTCTTTGAAATTCGATAATAATTGGTGTCAAAAATTGGATGTTGTGGGAGGATGACGCACTTGTGACATCAATGAAAAAAAAAAGGCTAGGAATCTATGCTTTTGCGAGGAATGATTATCTTTGAGAGAACTACTGCGGTAATACACCACAGAACAGACAACACAGAAAGTCAGTTTATTGTTAAAATGTATGTAATATATAGAGAGAGCATGAGCAGGCGATCTGTATCTGATTAAATTGCCACAAGGCCACACCTACAATCGCGTGCAAACATCGAGACAAGAAACTCCCACTCAAACAGTGTTGTAAACATGATACAAAGAGAGACGGTTTAATATAGCTCAAATTCTTTCCTCGATATTGTATAGAGGGGAGGAGGAGGGAAAATTATAGGAAGGAAGAAAATGTGCAAAATCTTTAACTTACGGCGCAATGATAAATGAGAATTCTGCAGTTAATTTAGAGAAACATTCCCACCATGCATGGCGGTATACGATCACCTTTTACTGCATAACCATGTATACAACCAATCTACTTGCAATGGCTATTGCTTAGTTATCATTTGTCTTATCAACTTTGCGCTATCCTTGGGATCTCTGAGTTGGACGTCTGCATATAATTTGTAGCGGCATGTGCGTCATATTAGGTGTAAGCCAATATATATTTTTATATTTACTGAGCGTTGCACTTCACACTTGGATGCTAGAGATAGCTACTCAGTGCTCCATCAATGTTCAACATATTCCGCTAAATTTACATTTTACGATGCTTTTTAGCTCTTTTAAATAATCCTTGTTGCAGGGAGCCAGATTTTCTGACCAAGATCAGAACAATCGGCACATACACCTCGCATGATGTGGATTTTCACTCAGATTCAACTATTTTACTGCTTTATATATTAAAAAAGGAAGTTTTCCTGCCTTGTTTTTGAGATTTCAATAACGTTCGGTATGAAAATTGTGTTCTGCACAATTGACTTGTTAATTTCATGAACACGCGCACTAGCTGTACGTATGTAATATACGTCGATAAGTAGTCAACCTATGAATATATCGTGTTTTACTGTCTTATTTACAGCAGTAGATATTTGAAAGTTTCAAAGAAACATATTCGTATTTTCACCTTGTTTTGAAATTCGATAATAATTGGTATTAAAATTGGATGTTGTGGGAGGATGACGCACTTGTGACATCAATGAAAAATAGGCGAGGAATTTTGCTCTTGCGAGGAATGATTATCTTCAAAAGAACTACTGTAGTAGATACACCACAGAACAGACAACACAGAAAGTCAGTTTATTATTAAAATGTATGTAATATATAGAGCATGAGCAGGCGATCTGTATCTGATTAAATTGCCACAAGGTCACACCTACAATCGCGTGCAAACATTGAGACAAGAAACTCCCACTCAAACAGTGTTGTAAACATGATACAAAGAGAGACAGTTTAATATAGCTCAAATTGTTCCTCATTGTATTGAGG